AAAAAAAAAAAAAAAAAAAAAAAAAGAAAAAGAATAGATATAGTGTAAAAATTGATTGTTACTGCCATCTATCGAGTGAGAGATACATTTTTTCAATGGATAGGATAAGCTAAGGAAAAATTAAAGATCAGTATCATTTTTTAAATACTTTTAAAAGATATCTTTTATTCAAAAGATAGCAATAATAATCAATTTTTATATTATCTCTATCCTTTTCTAACTATTTATTTTTCTTATTTATTTATTATTTGTTTTATTTGCAATATTTTGAAGAGAGGTTGATTTTCTAATTGTTATCTTATCTCCGTCTTTTTTTTTATTAATAATAATAATATATAACAAATATATATATATAAATATAATTTTTAGTTATATATTTTGCGTTTGAAAATTAATCATTACATTGTAATTTATTTTATTTTATTTTTGATATAACGAATATGTACTATATGTAAATTTATATTTAATATTAATCTAAATATCTTTTTAAGATAGAGTAATAAGATTATGATATATATAAATCTATTTTTAGATTTTTAATCACTTTATTAAATTGATCATACAAAATGCATAAAATCATCAAAGAAAATGAAATTACCATTTTTCTGTTGTGGCACCTCCCCAACTTTGTCCTGCTGCAGATTGTGTTGTAGCAGACCATTCTTCTGAAGTCTAAAATATAAAGAAAATAAATAATAATTTGATTTAATATCAAATTTTAAATTTACAATTAAATTTATCTATTGAACTTATTAAAATTAAACTTATAATTAAAAAATATTCACTTGAGCAGCCCAGTCTCCACTGGTTTGGAATGCTTGTGCAGCACCTGCTGTAGGAATAGTAGCAGCAGTTGGTGTTGCTACATCATCAGCCCAATTCTCAGGAGCAACTGCTCCTGCTGTATCAACTTCATTGACCCAGCCAGGTTCAGCAGCAGCTGCAACTTCAACTGCTCCAGCAAAATCTTTAGCTGGTGCTATTTCCTTAGCTGCTTGTTCTTCTTTCTCAGCCTTAAAACAATATTTTAGAACTTTATTTATTAATATAAATTAGATTAAAATATAAGCAAATTGTAAAAATATATTCAGTAAAGATTAAGCCATATAAATAAGGTCAACAAATATATTTCTGGATACTTTTTCATCATTTATAAATTATAAATGAAATGAAATAAAATCAAAGTTTTTTTTTTCATATTGAAATTGCATTA